CTATCTGTAACTCCCTTCTGTAGCATACAGACAGAAGTTCCTCCACTCAGCACGAGCCAGCTGCCCACGCTGCTGCCACTCGGACAGTTACTCATTCATTCGTTTGTTCATTTTTGCAGTTTTTAATTGAATTTGACAACAGTTTGTTCTCATCCACAATGACTGACTGCCAGTTTCTGAAAGCGGCAGTAGGCACACAGGTAACCAAAACAGAGTTTGTTTAGTGACTCTTCGTCCTGGTCATGCTTTCTGGAGAGCTGCACAAGGGTATGGTATGGAACGTTCCTTATTCCCTCGGCCCAGACAGCTTTGTGGAGCCTAGTGTTAGTATGTCTGGAATCCCCATCTGTTTATGACAAAGTTCTGGGTCTCTTTGGGTGCCCCCAAGGCCCAAGGGGCACGCTGCTTGAAGTCCACTCCATGGGTGTGCCTGTGAATGCTGATGTCGTATTCTGGTGTCACCACCTCATTGGTGGCAGGTGGCAGAATAGCTTTTTTTTTCTTTTTTAGACAGTCTTGCTCTGTCACCCAGGATAGAGTACGGTGGCACAATCTCGGCTCTCTGCAGCCTCCGCCTCCCAGGTTCAAGCAGTTCTTCCATCTCAACCTCCCAAATAGCTGGGACTACAGGCACATGCCACTAGGCCCAGCTAATTTTTGTATTCTTAGTAGATACAGGATTTCACCATCCCTAGGACAGACCGAACCTCAGATGCTCCACCCACCTCAGCCTCCTAAAGTGCTGGGATTACAGGCATGAGCCTGAGCCACTGCACCCGGCCAACACTTTTTTTTTTTGAGATGGAGTCTTGCTCCGTCACCCAAGCTGCAGTGCAGTGGTGCAATCTTGGCTCACTGCAACCTGCACTTCCTGGGTTCAAGCGATTCTCCTGCCTCAGCCTCCCAAGCAGCTGGGACTACAGGTGCATGCCACTACACCTGGCTAATAATTTTTGTATTTTTAGTAGAGACTGAGTTTCACCATGTTAGCCAGGATGGTCTCGATCTCCTGACCTTGTGATCCGCACGCCCTCAGCCTCCCAAAGTGCTGGGATTACAGGCATGAGCCACCATGCCCAGCCCTAACACCCTTCTTCACAGGAGCTGTGCTGCTGGGCCCAAGTTGGAAAGGGCTTTTAAAAATGTGTTCATATCACAGAAAACCAAACACCACATGTTCTCACTCATAGGCGGGTGTTGAACAATGAGAACATATGGACACAGGGAGGGGAGCATCACACATTGGGGTCTGTGGGGGGAAATAGGGGAGGGACAGTGCGGGGGGGGAGCTGGGGAGGGATAGCATGGGGAGAAATGCCAGATGTGGGTGAAGGGGAGGAAGGCAGCAAATCACACTGCCACGTGTGTACCTATGTAACAGTCTTACATGTTCTTCACATGTACCCCAAAACCTAAGATGCAATTTAAAAATAAAATAAAATAAGCATGGGAACAATGAAAAAAAAATTTGTTCATATCTCTTCTCCACTGAGTTTGGCTCTTTGATCCTTGAGAATTTACAAAAAAAAAAAAAAACTCTTTTCATAAGATTGTTACGTTGTTTGGAGAGAGGGAGAAAATGTGTGTACATGGCCAATGCACTATTACCTCTAATAGAATTTTTATTCTGTGTTTCACTTACATGTCTATTTTTCAGTTTTGCTTAAATCTTTTTCCCCTCATCTTCTCTCATGCCATCCCCTTTGCTTCTGTCCCCTTTGCTCCCAGAAAACTGTGTTAACACCTGATACATACCTGTTCACGTTTCTGTTCTCATTCAGTCATACTCATATGTATATTCAGGGAGGTCTTTTTCATACCCTGCTTCCATAGAAGGAATCATACTGGCCGGGCGCGGTGGCTCACGCCTGTAATCCCAGCATTTTGGGAGGCCGCGGTGGGCAGATCACAAGGTCAAGAGATCAAGATTATCCTGGCCAACATGGTGAAACCCCATCTCTACTAAAATACAAAAATTAGCTTGGCGTGGTGGTGCGCGCCTGTGGTCCCAGCTACTCAGGAGGCTGAGCCAGGAGAATTGTTTGGACCTGGGAGGCGGATATTACAGTGAGCCGAGGTCACGCCACTGCACTCCAGCCTGGCGCCTAGAGACAAAGCGAGACTCTGTCTCAAAAAAAAAAAAAAATGGAATCATACCATAAAAAGTTGTTTGCAACTTCTTTTCCTCACTCATCAACACATCTGGCCATCTGCAGGCCAACAGATGGGTCTATGCAACTAATTTTCATTCTCTTTAATATTTGCATAATATTCCATAATAGACAGCAACCATCTATTCGACCACTTCTAGTTCGATAGACATTTAGATTTAAACTAGATCTCACCTTATTCAGCCATTCTCTCTTGATGAACATTCAGTACCACAGAAAAAGAGGGAAAACTATCCATTTTTTTTAAAGCTTCCATAAACTTAATTCTAAAACTTGATAAATCTTACACAGAAAGAAAAACTATGGCCCAATCTCATTTATGAATATAAATCCATGCAATTCTAAGTAAAATCTTAGCAAATGTAATCTACCAGGATATCAAAAGAATGACCTCGTGGTGCATTAACCTAGTTTGTTAATCCATGCTGGAGAGGAGAGATCTCTGATAAGGTTCAGGGCTGTTTTCAATGAAAACTATAAACATAATAGTAACCGAAGGGAAAGACTTATGTGCAACCACAACTATCAGAAACCAAGACCAAAACCAGTATTCCGTGGGGCATGCCAAACTATTTCCTCTATCTCAGGAATGAGAGGAGGGCACCCGCCTGTGGCGCTGGGAATCAGCTGTGTTCTCAAAGCCTTCCACTTCTCTCCTGGTCTTTATGAAGACAAGAGTTTTTCATCATGGGTATCATCCTACAGTGTTTTGGGGTTTTTGTTTGTTTTGTTTTGTTTTTTGAGACGAAGTCCCTCCCGGTCGCCAGGCTGGCATGCAGTGGTGCGATCTCAGCTCACTGCAACGTCTGCCTCCTGGGTTCAAGCGATTCTCCTGCCTCAGCCACCCAGGCAGCTGGAACCACAAGCGCACGCCACCACGCCCAGCTAATTTTTGTATTTTTAGTAGACACAGGGTTTCACCATGTTGGCCAGGATGGTCTCGATCTCTTGACCTCGTGATCCACCCACCTCGGCTTTCCATAGTGCTGGGATTCCAGGCGTGAGCCACCGCGCCCAGCCCCTGCAGTGTTTTTGAAATAATTCCCAGTGGCTGGTAGGAAGTTACTCTAAATGGTGTATCTGTTTGCCTTCTCTGGAAAAGCTCCCCATCTCAAGGTGAAAGAACTACTTTCTTATCCTCCACATCCTAGGAATTTTAAGAGAGAGAAGAAATGAGAGGCTTCAGGGGAGTTAATCTCCTCGTCATTCAGGAAAGAGTGACATTTATTAGTGCAGGCCTAAGCAATCAGATGGATTTTGCTGGGAATATGTGAGGAGCGCCTGGTGGGGCCATGGTGCCAGTCTGGGACCTGTGGGGAAAATGAATCACAGGAGCTGAACAGGGTCGGGAGCACATAGGAGCTGGGGTCCCAGAGAGGGAGGATCTAGGTGCAGTAGCTCGTTCAGAGCCAATCCTGGGCGTGTGCGGATGTCATCCTGCATCCACCCTGTGAATGAACCCTGGTGGCACAGGGTCTTTTCTGCTCCCTCTCAAGAGAAAGGAGGGTACCAGCCCCGGCACCCTACTCACACCAGTCACTGTTGGCCTTGAGATTTCCGGTCTGCATCAGCATCTGACTTTCCACCCCGGGATGCGTTTGGTCTGTTTTGCCGGTTAGAGAACTGGAGACACCGAGCCTGAGCTCCTCATGGGGCCTGCCGTGGCTGCATGGCCAGGTCTGAATGAGTGGAGGTTTCTGATGACCCTAAGAGTGGCTTCCATTTATTAAGCTCTTTCTCTATGCCAGGCTCTGGAGGAGGAGGCCATTAGTCACAGAGCAGCCCTTTTGCGGCAGACACGGGGCAGTTTCCCTCATTTCACAGGCAGTGAGATGGTTCTGGGCATAGTGATTCTCCGGTGCTTCTAGGGAGCTGCCTGTCTGGAGGACTCATTGCATTGTGTAGTCCCTGACTGCATTCCCATTGTTTGAAAGGTTTATCATGTAGACCTACTCAAAGGGAGAGGTGAGCGACTCCCACAGGCACACCCTGAGCCCCAGCCACCCCCACTCCCAAGGTGTGCATTTCTATTTCTGTCACGTAGTGCCCAACACTGCTACAGAGTTGGTATTACGATTATTCTGGTTTTATAGTTGAAGAAATTGAGGCTTGGGGAGGGGACTCAACCCCGGGTTCCCATTGTGTGTCTGTATATGTGTGTCTGAGTGTGTGTGCATGTGTTTTGCAAAGTAGGTCAGCCAGCAGTACAGAAGCCTAATGGTTGGTTATATTTCCCTGGTAGCATTTGTCACTCGGGCTTCTAAATTTGGCCATCAGGATCTCTTCAGGGTTAAAAAGTTAACACATATTGCCCAGGAGGGAGACATATTGCCCAGGAGGGAGGCAATGTAATGTGAAATGAGTGCCTCAGCTTCCTCATCTACAAAATGGGCTGAGGACAATACCTCATACGATCACCCCAACAAGGCCTGGCACACGTTTCCTAGAGACTTTGTGGGAACTTAGTGAATGTTCCCCAACAGATCTGTCACAGACACTGTAAATGCTGCCCCTTGTCCCTTCCGCACCTCTTGTAGCAGTGTCATCCAGGAAGGCTGGAAACCCCAGGAGGTATAGGGGCCCTTTTCTCAGCATACCCCAAGAAAACGCTCTCAGCGTCTTTTAAAGTTGTCAAGGTCCCAGTTCGTAGCAGTTCCCCATAAAATGCCAGTTCCCTTTGCCATCACTGGACTCACTTCTCATCCTATGCCCCAAAAGTGAGAAGGGCGGGCTGTGTCACGGCATTCCTAGCCAGGGAAGGGCATCTGGCCCCAGCATGTGAATTCAAGCCCTTTCCCAGCTGTAATAACCACTCTCTTCTTTCCACAGGGGCTAAACTGCACAGTCAAAAATAGTAAGTCATCTTTTTCTGTTCTTCTTGTTGCCTTGTTAATCAAGTGATGTCCTGGTGCCAACTTCTGGCAGAAGCCCTGCCGTGCCACTCCAGGTTCAGGCTGTGAGCTACAGCCGTCAGCAGGAGGGATCCCGGAGAATCATGAATGTGTGCACCTGCGCTTCCTATCGAGAGCATTCATTATGCAAAAGTCAGGAAGGGAGAAACAGAACGGTCATGGGATTGTGAAAGTATTCCCTGGGGTGCTGCCCTACCGGATCCGTAATGTAATTTGATTTGCCACAGCTTGTCACTGTAAAGTGAGAGACATCTGTGGTGTAGATTTTGTTTTGTTTTCATTCAAAGAGGAGGCACATATTCAAGTGTCTGAGCCAATTAGGGACCCCTGACATATAAAAATAAAGCAGCTCTTCCTACAGCCCTGTCCCGCCTGTGCCCTCATGCCCAGTCACAGCTTCATCTCAAAATCAATTGTGTACTTTGTCTTCCCTCCTGAAATTCCCTTTAGACTTGAGAGATTTGTAGTGACCCCAGTACACGTTAGAGAAGAGGGAGCAGGGCAGCGAAGCTGAGGATGCAGCCACGGGTCACAGGCTAGCAGGTCACAGGCCCCTGAGCTGTTTGCCGTTTAGCTGTCTGTACCCGCTGCTGGGGCATCTGTCTCCACTGTAAGTCTCTGAGTGGTCCTCTTCCCTGGCTGCCAGGTACCTGCCTGGATGACAGCTGGATCCACCCTCAAAACCTGACCCCCTCCTCCCCAAAAGAGCTGCAGATCGAGCTTCGCTTTGTCCGCACCCAGCAAGGAGACCTGTTCCCCGTGGCTCACATTGAATGGACGCTGCAGACAGACGGTGAGTGGACCTGCCAGCAGGACCCTGGGCGAGTCTCCCTGCCTCTGAGTGAGTCCACAGACCCACCTGTCAGCTCTCTCATTTAGGCTCAGGATTGGGCTCCCAGTCCTATGCTCAGACATGAGGGCTCAAACTTACTGTTGAAAGGATCCATCATTTCAAGTGTTAGTGCTTGTTCAGCATTTTGGATATTAACTGCAGTGATGCCTTCCCATCAGTTCATTCCTCACGAAAGGACACCTTCAGCCTAACATTTTTTGCACCCTGGGGGAAAAAGAAATCAAGTGGTTAATTTTGTGACTGCAATACCAAAAATGAGGTAGAAAATGGCAACACATTTGCCAGCCTGTTTGTTCCCTTAATTTAGGGGCCACTTTTAAAACATCCTGGGAGCCTATTCAGGAATAGAGAGTTTATATTACAGAACTGGGGCAACTGGGGCGAATGAGCACCAGTCCCAGATTTGTGACCGGGGCCTGGGGGAATTCTCTCTGGAAGTCCCCAGCCTCAATGCTCCTGCTGACTGCTGCAGCCTCGTGAGGATGATGGCGCAGCTGTGTTTGAACCCATGCCAGGCTGTCAAAGCCCTCACCGCAAATTCGCAAAGCCTTTGCTTCTAGCCCTGTGTAAAGTGTCATTTTTCCTTGCCCAGCTGGGAAATAACTGTCTGCAAGGAGGTACGCAGAGAGCGAGCTGAAAGGGACCGGAAGTGGAGAGCTGGGTTAGACAGGCAGATTTTCTTTCAAGAGCGAACAACCACAGCAGACAGGGAGGTGACACACCTGGCACTTGTCGTGGCTGACCTGTATCTGTTTGCCTCCTCTCCTCCTCTGTCCTCCAGCCAGCATCCTGTACCTCGAGGGTGCAGAGTTATCTGTCCTGCAGCTAAACACCAATGAACGTTTGTGTGTCAGGTTCGAGTTTCTGTCCAAACTGAGGCATCACCACAAGCGGGTAAGAATACAGCTCCTGGCCGGGCACGGTGGCTCACGCCTGTAATCCCAGCACTCTGGGAGGCCGAGGCGGGTGGATCACGAGGTCAAGAGATGGAGACCATCCTGGTCAACATGGTGAAACCCCGTCTCTACTAAAAATACAAAAACTAGGCCGGACGCGGTGGCTCAAGCCTATAATCCCAGCACTTTGGGAGGCCGAGGCGGGTGGATCACGAGGTCAAGAGATGGAGACCATCCTGGTCAACATGGTGAAACCCCGTCTCTACTAAAAATACAAAAACTAGGCCGGACGCGGTGGCTCAAGCCTATAATCCCAGCACTTTGGGAGGCCGAGGCGGGTGGATCACGAGGTCAAGAGATCGAGACCATTCTGGTCAACAAGGTGAAACCCCGTCTCTACTAAAAATACAAAAATTAGCTGGGCATGGTGGCGCGTGCCTGTAATCCCAGCTACTCGGGAGGCTGAGGCAGGAGAATTGCTTGAACCCAGGAGGCGGAGGTTGCGGTGAGCCGAGATCGCGCCATTGCACTCCAGCCTGGGTAACAAGAGCAAAACTCCATCTCAAAACACACACACACACACACACAAAAACAAACTTAGCTGGGCATGGTGGTGTGCACCTGTAGTCCCAGCTACTCAGGAGGCTGAGACGGGAGAATTGCCTGAACCCAGGAGGCGGAGGTTGGGGTGAGCCGAGATCGCACCATTGCACTCCAGCCTGGGTAACAAGAGCGAAACTCTGTCTCAAAAAAAAAGAATACAGCTCCTGAGTGGATCATGGTCTGCTGCTGACACCAGTACAGACTTGTCCCCAAATTCAGACCCTGATTTAGAGCAGTGAAGACCCAGAGGCGCTGAGAGAGACTGAGGAATTCCAAACGGCAGCTTCAGGTGGGCAGAAGTCCACAGAGAAGTGTGGCCGTGGCGAGCAATATTGAGGGACGGAGTGTATTTTGAAAGCTTTCCTGACACACCCCGCTTTTTCTTCCCACTTTACGGAGCTATTCATTCTGAAAGCACGGTGAATTGGAAGACAACTTCCACAGCCCTGCCTCCTGGCATCTTTGTGTAACTTCCTATGACACCTTTTCTGTATAATGTGGATTAAGCTGGGGTTTACCCTCAGGAAGAAAAAGCGGCCCAGACCAAAGAGCTGCTGCAGGTGGGCAAATGAGCGCTCCGCAGCTCAGTCTCACACGGCTGCGCACTGCTATGTGTTGAAATGTTGATTCTTGTTTGTTTAAAACAGTGGGTCCCTAAGTGTGCTCCCTAGATCAGCAGCCTCAACCTCACCTGGGAACTTGTTAGAAATGTGTGTTTTGGTTGGGCGCGGTGGCTCACACCTGTAATCCCAGCACTTAGGGAGGCCGAGGCGGGTGGTCAAAAGATGGAGAGCATCCTGGCCAACATGGTGAAACCCTACCTCTACTAAAAATACAAAAATTAGCTGGGCATGGTGGCGCACGCCAGTAATCCCAGCTACTCGGGAGGCTGAGACAGGAGAATCGCTTGAATCCAGGAGGTGGAGGTTGCAGTGAGCCAAGAATGCGCCACCGCACTCCAGCCTGTTGACAGAGTGAGACTCCATATCAAAAAAAAGAAGAGAAGAAATCTGTTCTACGGCCCCACCCCAGACTTCCCAGGCCAGAAATTCTTAGGGTGGGGTCCAGCAACGGCTGCCTAACCGCCCCTCAAGTAATTATGATGCAAGCCTTAGTCTGAAGACTACTGGTTTAAATCTGCAAACGGCCGCTTGAAAACAAGTTAGATCTCTCACAGACAGAAGCAGCAGAGACAGAACCCCTCTCTGATGTTAGATTAGGATCCCCAAACTTGGCTGCTGTGTGATGGTGAGAACCAGGTTCCTACATCCACTTAGAAGCGAAGGACCCCTGGCCTCTCCTCCGGGGCAACTAGAGTGGGGGTTGGAGTCGATATCTGTAATCTCTACCACCCAGAAAATGACTCAGCACAAATTGATTTCTGCAACTAAGGTCCCTGCTGGCCCAGGGCGAGTGGGCCTCTCCAGCTTGTCCTCCATAATTTTTTACCACAGAACGTTCTCCAGAGATCCCTGGCTTTCCCATTTAAGGAGGAAGAATCATTTGACAAAGTTTTCACCTGCCTGTGTGCCAGATCTCCACAGCCTAGTCCTCTGGCTCAGCCGTCTCACACCCATTGTTCTAGAATTTGAGAAGCCTGGTGCGGGGCAGGACCGCTTTCCCTTATTCACTGTCTGCTCAGGAGGCCAGATCCAGGTGGCTGTTTTTCTTAACAGGCAGAAAAGAGCAGAGGAAACAGGACAAAGGTTCTGATTTCCCTGACTGGGTTTTGCTGTGGTCGTTGCTTTATTCTTGTTTTTGGCTGAATGTTTGGGAGTGGGTGGGAACGGGGGTCTTTGGGCGTACGTGGGTGAGAGAGGTGTGCGTAACCTGTCCACCTTCCCTTCCTGCCTTCTCTTCAGTGGCGTTTCACCTGCAGCCACTTCGTGGTTGACCCTAACCAGGAGTATGAGGTGACCGTTCACCACCTGCCCAAACCCATCCCTGACGGGGACCCAAACCACCAGTCCAAGAATTTCCTCGTGCCTGGTAAGAGCACCCTCCCAAGGCATTCCCTCCCCCTGGGCTCTATGAGGAGGAAGCAGCAGGTGGCACAGATGCCAGCCCCCTCCCTCAGCAAAGCAGTGGCTGGCACTGCCAGCACCCACGAACAGAGGCCAGGACTGGGAGTTCTTTGGCTTGTGCTGCAGCCTCCACTCCCCGAGGCAGAGCCATTCTCTGCTGGCACAGCGGTGGCCATTGGCCCAAGATCCCAGGAGTTTCATGAGAACTGGAGTCCCTCCCTCTACCTAGAGAAGCACCCGTCCTGCCCAGAAAATAGCATAAAGGCAAAGCCGCAGGCACCTCGTGGAGAAGTTGCAGCCTCTGCCCGCAGCCTGGTGCTGGCCTCCATGGCTTGCTTTCCTCCTCCCACCCTGCATTTTCCCTGCGTCACGGAACACTCATCCCAGGCATGGCACTGTCCTTCCCGCGCCATCCGTCCTGTCTGTGGTTCTGCCCTTCCCGCGCCGTCCACCCTGCCCGCGGTTCCTGTCCTTCTTGCGCCATCCGCCCTGTCTGTGGTTCCTGTCCTTCCCACGCCGTCTGCCCTGTCTGTGGTTCCTGCCAGGCTTCTCTTCTCAGGCATCCTTCGATGTACGTGCACCTTCTACTTCCCCCTCCTCCCCAGAGGCTCAGCTGTTACCTGCATTTTTCTTTTTGATTTCAATAGAGGCGGTCTCACTTTGTCACCCAGGCTATCCTAGCTCACTGCAGCCTGGAACTCCTGGGCTCAGGCAATTCTCCTGCCTCAGCCTCCCTATAATTCTCACTGTTCATAGCCAGCTGTGTCAGGGAGCCTGCTCGATAACAAAGTCTGGGTCTTCTGCCCACTTGCAGCATCTCCAGAGCCTCGCAAATTGCCTTGCATCTAGCAGGTGGTCCGGAAATGCTTGTTAAGGATGGTGTTGACCTTCTTCATCCTGGGGACACCCTGCACACATGCGTGCGCTCACACTCGGCTTACCCTGCTGTGTGCCCGCGCGTGGCTCATCACTCCCTGGCGTGGCGCTGCGTGCTGTGTGTTTGCTTTCATTGGTCTTTCCCACGGGCTTGGAGTCTCCGGGGGCAGGGCTTTGTCCTGTTGGCCACGTACCTGCAGTGCCGGGAACAGGGCCTGGTGCATGGCTGGGGCCCATCAGTATCTGTTGAAGGAGTCAGTCTCCTCAGTTCTTTCTTCGTTCCCAAAGTGACTGGCTCAGTCCCTGTCCCTCATGCTGATTCACACCTGTCATGTGTCTTCTCAGCCTGGGCAAAGATGGGCAGCCAGGGACAAGAAGCTGTGGGTGGACAGCGAAGGAACTGGAGGGGACCAGGATTGCTTGGTCACACACAGGAAGCTCAGGAGGAATGCATTTGAATTGGGAGGGTTCCCCAAAAGACGACCATCAGGCAAGCAGACTAGCGCCCATGCCAAGGTGGGTCCAGTCCCGGAGCACATTCTGAAGGGGCCATTAGTGGACAGGCTCCCATCGGAGAAGACATAGCTGTTCTGGTGTCAGGAGTCTGGAAGAACAGGCTTCCGAAGGCAGAGGCTTCACGAGTTCCCTTTCCTCTGTGTCGGCAGGCTGCGAGGACACCAGGATGAAAGGAACCATGCCGTGTGTGAGCGCAGGTAACAGGCTTCCCGGGAGAGCTGCACACACGCACACACACTCCCACTCCCACGCCCCTCCTCACTCCCAGCCTGCCTGTGTAACCTTCGCAGGCAGCATGTGGGACCCCGACATCACTGTGGAGACCCTGGAGGCCCACCAGCTGCGCGTGAGCTTCACCCTGTGGAACGAATCTGCCCGCTACCAGGTCCTGCTGACCAGCTTTCCACATATGGAGAACCACAGCTGCTTTGAGCACATGTACCACGTGCCTGCGGTAACTACCGTTTCTGACCCTGCTCAGCTCAGAGCCCCCCTCCAAGCCCCAAGTCTCTTCTCTGCTGGTCTGACAGGATTGTGTTGCCGGAGCTTGGAGCTCATGCTGTGCTTACTCCGGAGTGGTCTTGGGGCCCTGCCTTTTTCTTCCCTGCTGATCTGACGGTTGATAGAAAGGCAGTCGACTCCGTCCTGCCCATGCCTCAGTCCTTTTCCTTCTTCCCTCCTCCACAGGATCCCTTGTTCTCTTTCTGTTTTGCTGTGTTTATTACAAAAAGGATTTGATGATTTAAAAAAAGAAATGTGGAAATAGAGATAAAGGGAACTAAAGGAAATCAGTGCCTCGCACCTGTGATCCCGATAGTTTGGGAGGCCACGCAGGCTTGACATTGGAGCTGGAGCTGCAGTGAGCCGTGATGGCTCCATACACCCAACCAGGGGGACAGAGCAAGGCGCTGTCTCTTAAGCTGGGCGCAGTGGCTCCTGCCTGTAATCCCAGCACTTTCGGAGGCCATGGTGGGCGGATCACAAGGTCAGGAGTTCAAGACCAGCCTGGCCAAGTTGGTGAAACCCCATCTCTACTAAAAATACAAAAATTAACTGGATGTGGTGATACATGCCTCTAATCCCAGCCACTTGGGAGGCTGAAGCAGGAGTATTGCTTGAACTTGGGAGGCAGAAGTTTCAGTGAGCTCAGATTGTGCTTTTATACTGCAGTCCAGACAACAGAGTCAAAAAAAAAAAAAGGAAATTAATGAAATAAAATAGGCTGGGCATGGTGGTTCATGCCTGTAACCCCAGCACTTTGGGAGGCCAAGGCGGGTGGATGGCTTGAGGTCAGGAGTTCAAGATCAGCCTGGCCAATATGCTGAAACGCCATCTGTACTAAAAGTACAAAAATAAGCCAGGTGTGCTGGCACACGCTAATCCCAGCTACCTGGGAGGCTGGGCAGGAAAAGCGTGTTGTGTGGCCCTATACAGCTGGTGTGAAAGAACACAGATTTGTAGCCCCAGTTCCCAGCAGCCAAAGCAAAGAGGACCTTACCAGTTAATAAATGTACTTACGAACTTACAGCAAACTGGCTTCCATGCAAAAATGCAGCATTTTCTGGAACAGAAACCTGAAAAGCATTTGTCCCCTGGCGTTCCTAAGGGGTGCCCTGGACAGCTTCTCCGTGGTAGAGCCACAGCAGGTTCTCACCCAAGTAGCCTTACCTGTCCTTGCCTCTCTCCTCAGCCCAGGCCGCAGGATTTCCACCAGCGATCCAACATCACACTCACCGTACGCAGCCTCAGAGGGTGCTGTCGCCATCGAGTGCAGGTGAGTGAGTGCGGTGTGGACGGGGCAGGGAGCAGAACGGGTGGACAGTGCGGTGTGGGGAGTGAGGGGTGTGCACAGGTGAGTGAGTGTGGTGTGGACGGGGCAGGGAGCAGAATGGGTGGACAGTGTGGTGTGGGGAGTGAGGAGCGTGCACAGGTGGGGAGTGTGGTGTGGACAGGCCAGGGAGCAGAACGGGTGGACAGTGTGGTGTGGGGAGTGAGGAGCGTGCACAGGTGGGGAGTGTGGTGTGGACAGGCCAGGGAGCAGAACGGGTGGACAGTGCGGTGTGGGGAGTGAGGGGTGTGCACAGGTGAGTGAGTGTGGTGTGGACGGGGCAGGGAGCAGAATGGGTGGACAGTGTGGTGTGGGGAGTGAGGAGGGTGCACAGGTGAGTGAGTGTGGTGTGGACGGGGCAGGGAGCAGAACGGGTGGACAGTGCGGTGTGGGGAGTGAGGGGCGTGCACAGGTGAGTGAGTGTGGTGTGGACGGGGCAGGGAGCAGAACGGGTGGACAGTGCGGTGTGGGGAGTGAGGGGCGTGCACAGGTGAGTGAGTGTGGTGTGGACGGGGCAGGGAGCAGAACGGGTGGACAGTGCGGTGTGGGGAGTGAGGGGCGTGCACAGGTGAGTGAGTGTGGTGTGGACGGGGCAGGGAGCAGAACGGGTGGACAGTGCGGTGTGGGGAGTGAGGGGCGTGCACAGGTGAGTGAGTGTGGTGTGGACGGGGCAGGGTGCAGAACGGGTGGACAGTGCGGTGTGGGGAGTGAGGGGCGTGCACAGGTGAGTGAGTGTGGTGTGGACGGGGCAGGGAGCAGAACGGGTGGACAGTGCGGTGTGGGGAGTGAGGCGCGTGCACAGTGAGTGAGTGTGGTGTGGACGGGGCAGGGAGCAGAATGGGTGGACAGTGCGGTGTGGGGAGTGAGGGGCGTGCACAGGTGAGTGAGTGTGGTGTGGACGGGGCAGGGAGCAGAATGGGTGGACAGTGTGGTGTGAGGGGCGTGCACAGGTGAGTGAGTGTGGTGAGGACGTGGGCAGGGAGCAGAACGGGTGGACAGTGCGGTGTGGGGAGTGAGGGGCGTGCACAGGTGAGTGAGTGTGGTGTGGACGGGGCAGGGAGCAGAACGGGTGGACAGTGCGGTGTGGGGAGTGAGGGGCGTGCACAGGTGAGTGAGTGTGGTGTGGACGGGGCAGGGAGCAGAATGGGTGGACAGTGTGGTGTGAGGGGCGTGCACAGGTGAGTGAGTGTGGTGAGGACGGGGCAGGGAGCAGAATGGGTGGACAGTGCGGTGTGGGGAGTGAGGGGCGTGCACAGGTGAGTGAGTGTGGTGTGGACGGGGCAGGGAGCAGAATGGGTGGACAGTGCGGTGTGGGGAGTGAGGAGCGTGCACAGGTGAGTGAGTGTGGTGTGGACGGGGCAGGGAGCAGAATGGGTGGACAGTGTGGTGTGAGGAGCGTGCACAGGTGAGTGAGTGTGGTGTGGACGGGGCAGGGAGCAGAATGGGTGGACAGTGTGGTGTGAGGAGTGAGGGGTGTGCACAGGTGGAGAGTGCAGTGTGGGAAGTGAGGAGCGTGCACAGGTGAGTGAGTGTGGTGTGGACAGGGCAGGGAGCAGAATGGGTGGACAGTGGTGTGGGGAGTGAGGGGCGTGCACAGGTGAGTGAGTGTGGTGTGGACAGGGCAGGGAGCAGAATGGGTGGACAGTGTGGTGTGGGGAGTGAGGAGCGTGCACAGATGAGTGAGTGTGGTGTGGACGGGGCAGGGAGCAGAATGGGTGGACAGTGGTGTGGGGAGTGAGGAGCGTGCACAGGTGAGTGAGTGTGGTGTGCACGGGGCAGGGAGCAGAATGGGTGGACAGTGGTGTGGGGAGTGAGGCGTGCACAGGTGAGTGAGTGTGGTGTGCACGGGGCAGGGAGCAGAATGGGTGGACAGTGGTGTGGGGAGTGAGGGGCGTGCACAGGTGAGTGAGTGTGGTGTGCACGGGTGCAGGGAGCAGAATGGGTGGACAGTGTGGTGTGGGGAGTGAGGAGCGTGCACAGGTGAGTGAGTGTGGTGTGGATGGGGCAGGGAGCAGAATGGGTGGACAGTGGTGTGGGGAGGAGCGTGCACAGGTGGGGGGTGTGGTGTGGGGGAGTGAGGAGTGTGCATGGGTGGAGAGTGTGGTGTGGGGAGTGAGGAGTGTGTACAGGTGGGGAGTGTGGTGTGGGGGAGTGAGGAGTGTGTACAGGTGGGGAGTGTGGTGTGGGGAGTGAGGAGTGTGCACAGGTGGGGAGTGTGGTGTGGGGGAGTGAGGAGTGTGCACAGGTGGGGAGTGTGGTGTGGGGGAGTGAGGAGTGTGCACAGGTGGGGAGTGTGGTGTGAGGAGTGTGCACAGGTGGAGTGTGGTGTGGGGAGTGAGGAGTGTGTACAGGTGGGGAATGTGGTGTGGGGGAGTGAGGAGTGCACAGGTGGAGAGTGGTGTGGGGGAGTGAGGAGTGTGCACAGGTGGAGTGTGGTGTGGGGGATGAGTGTGCACAGGTGGAGAGTGGTGTGGGGGATGAGGAGTGTGCATAGGTGGAGTGTGGTGTGGGGGAGTGAGGAGTGCACAGGTGGAGAGGTGTGGGGGAGTGAGGAGTGTGCACAGGTGGAGAGTGGTGTGGGGAGTGAGGAGTATGCACAGGTGGAGAGTGGTGTGGGGGAGTGAGGAGTGTGCACAGGTGGAGTGTGTGGTGTGGGGGATGAGTGTGCACAGGTGGAGAGTGGTGTGGGGAGTGAGGAGTGTGCACAGGTGGAGAGTGGTGTGGGGAGTGAGGAGTATGCACAGGTGGAGAGTGTGGTGTGGGGAATGAGTGTGCACAGGTGGAGAGTGGTGGGGAGTGAGGAGTGTGCACAGGTGGAGTGTGGTGTGGGGGAGTGAGGAGTGTACACAGGTGGAGTGTGGTGTGGGGAGTGAGGAGTGTGCACAGGTGGAGTGTGGTGTGGGAGTGAGGAGTGTGCACAGGTGGAGTGTGGTGTGGCAGTGAGGAGTGTGCACAGGTGGAGTGTGGTGTGGTGATGAGTGTGCACAGGTGGAGTGTGGTGTGGGGGATGAGTGCACAGGTGGAGTGTGGTGTGGGGGATGAGTGCACAGGTGGAGAGTGGTGTGGGGAGTGAGGAGTGTGCACAGGTGGAGAGTGGTGTGGGGAGTGAGGAGTGTGCACAGGTGGAGAGTGGTGTGGGGGAGTGAGGAGTGTGCACAGGTGGAGAGTGGTGTGGGGGAGTGAGGAGTGTGCACAGGTGGAGTGTGGTGTGGGAGTGAGGAGTGTGCACAGGTGGAGTGTGGTGTGGTGATGAGTGTGCACAGGTGGAGTGGTGTGGGGGATGAGTGTGCACAGGTGGAGAGTGGTGTGGGGAGTGAGGAGTGTGCACAGGTGGAGAGTGGTGTGGGGAGTGAGGAGTGTGCACAGGTGGAGAGTGGTGTGGGGGAGTGAGGAGTGTGCACAGGTGGAGAGTGGTGTGGAGAGTGAGGAGTGTGCACAGGTGGAGAGTGGTGTGGGGAGTGAGGAGTGTGCACAGGTGGAGTGTGGTGTGGGGGAGTGAGGAGCGTGCACAGGTAGAGAGTGTGGTGTGGACAGAGTGGAGCGTGCACAGGTAGAGAGTGGGGTGTGGACAGAGAGGGGAGTGTGCAGTCTGTTGTTCCTGCTGGTGTATGGGGAAGGCTTGTGCCCTCTCTAGCACCAGGCACTGCTGGCAGTGAGAATTCCTTGCCCATTGAGACTCTGCCTCTGCCTTTCTCCTTTCCGATTCTCCCAGCCTTATCTGGGCAGGGGTCCTCTGACCGTCCACCCCTTGGTGGAGGGAGACAATGGCCCTTAACCTGCCCTCTCTGCCCACAGATCCAGCCCTTCTTCAGCAGCTGCCTCAATGACTGCTTCAGACACTCTATGACTGTTTCCTGCCCAGAAACGCCAGACACTCCAGGTAGGAGACATGCAGCTGTCCAGGGCCACACTGGGATGCAGGTGGCTGAGGCCTGACCTGGGTCTGGGGGGTGGTTTGGGAGGAGAGTGTAGTTTAACTTGGAGCTCTTCAGGCCTGAAGTGTGGAGTGGGGTTTAGAGTGTCACTCCTGGGGTTGGAGTCCTGGCCGCCTTTCATTAGCGATGCATCCTCAGGCGAAATCCTTAACCCTTCTGACCCTCCACTTTCTTGACTGGAAAATGGGGTGGTTTTAGCCTATAGGCCTAGTGCTGCACATGCATGGAGCGCGCGGCTCCAACATGCTGTCCGTGTTTGATCCCCCCTCATTGTGAGTGAGCCATCATACTGTGAAGTAGAGGATTCCCCACCCCATTCCCCAGGTTCATGGATGAGGAAACTGAGGCACAGCTATATTGAATAACTTGTCCAAGATCACACACCAGGGACACTGTTTGGAAGTCGCATGCGCTGACGCATGGGAGGCTGTGGCCACAGGCTCACAAGAAGGCTGAGACATGGGGCCAGGCTGGAAGGAGACCCAGCCTCCCAAGGAGGAGGCAAGGCATCTCTCCTTAGACCAGCAGCTCAAGTCCTTGTCTCTTGTAGGTGGCTTCATTAAGTTCAGCCTGGATCTAAAGTGCCTGGTGCGGGGCCAAGGTCATGAAGGCGCTTAGGGGTGTCAGTGGTTTTGTGATGACCGGGAAGGGTTGAGAACACTCCTTCCCTTTTCCCTTTGTTCTCATTGCAGAACCTGTTGTGGGTAAGCTCCCGATCTGCAGTGCAGCCCTCAGGCCACGTGAGAGTGCGAAGTCCATGCCTGACCCAGGCAGACTAGCCTGAAGGAGGCCAGCTGGGGTAGTGGAGGGGGGTGTGCATGGGTGAGACCAGGGTTTGTCAGCTGGGGGGTGGGGGCGTGGGTGTGAGGGGGCGGGGTGGTGGACGTGGACAGAGAGGACAGAGCCTGAGGCTGGGGATAGGGGCTGGGGCCCTAAGGGCCAGCAGGGCAGGCCTAGGCAGCACTCACACTGTTCTGCTCACCACAGTCTACATGCCCCTGTGGGTGTACTGGTTCATCACGGGCATCTCCATGCTGCTGGTGGGCTCCGTCATCCTGCTGATCGTCTGCATGACCTGGAGGCTACCCGGTAAGGGCTGGGGGTCTGGCCGTCCCTAGCACGGCCACTCACTAGCAGGGCAAATCAGTTTATTCTCTGAGCCTCAGGTTCTCACTTGTAAAATGGAAATCACAGTGATAGCCATGTCACTGTCCTCTGAGTGAAATAAGGCACGTGAATTCTTAGCACAGAACCTGGCATGTGCTGTTTGCAGTGTCCATTAGCTACCATTATATTTATTGTTATTATTAAATGAAATATTACTAAAATCAGCAGGTTGGAAGGAGCCAGAGTGAAGTTTCTTTGTGTCAGGAATTACCAGCCAGGCAGGCGGAGCAGCCTGAACAACCCCGTCCTACAGCCCCCCGATGTGTACATCTGGGGTCAGGGAGAATAGCGTGGGCCAGCGTCGAGTGATAGAGAAGGCCCCAGCTGCCCTGAGCTGTCGGGGCAGACCCCAGCCCCACCTCGTTAGCCTTGTAGTCACGGGCCAGTCACTTAACACACCATGGGGTCACTTTTCTGTAAAATGTGCTGATAATGCTTCCCTCTCAGGACTGTGATGGAGGTTGAGTGAGTAGCTGAGGAAGGTGCTTGCTGGGGGCTTAGTCCATACCAGCCTCTCCTACCTGCAGCCCTCTGCTGGCATGAGAGGGCCTTTGGGGGGTTCTGATAACGGCTGGTGCTCTGTAGGCTGTGCAGCTCTCTAAAGCTGTGGGGGGTGCTTTTCACTTCGTTTCTGCTGTTGCTTCTGTTTCCCAAAGAGCGCCAAATCCCAGGGTGAAGGCAAGGAGGAGCCTCACTGGTTATTTGACCGTCTTCGAGGGGTCTAGGGAAGAGCTGAAAGGGCGAGGATTGAGATGAAGGTTCTAAGTCACTTGCTCAGTCGTCTTCGGGCCTTGGTCATCCCAGCTGTCACCAAGGAGTTAAGTCCCACAGAGCAGTTTTCTTCATCACACCTCCAAGGGGAACAATTGCCTAAGTATGTGGGTTCCCTTCCTCACCCCAAAAATACCAGGAGGAAATGTTGCAAGCGGCCCAGTGCGGCGGCTTCTGGAAAGAAGTGTGGTAAGATGCATGCCTTCTGCAGGATGCTCTGGGGAAGAGCTTTCCCTCAGGTGGCCAAATTTCAGGGGCACGGGGCAGACCAAGAGCATAGTGAGGAGCCAGGGTGGACCCTCCAGCACCATTCTGGGGGTCCCAGCTGGGTCAGTGCTGTAAAATAACAACTGTGACCCCAGCTGACCACGTGCAACGTGCCAGGACTTTACATACACACGCTCATTTAATACCCATTACATGAGAGCAAACACAGCCCCACTGCACAGAGGAGGAAGCTGCATTTCAGGGGCACCGGTGACTGCTCCAGTCATGTGCTTGTAGTGGCCGACCCAGGATTCACGGCTGTGCGGGCACCTGGCACGGCCTCCCGGCTCAGGGCTGCCCCCTCCCCTCCACCCTTTGTCAGGGTGAGGCACGTGCCCTGTGAACTGGTTTCTGTTTCTCTTCCCAAAGAACCACTCCAGTGTCTCTTTTCCTTTCCAGGGCCTGCAAGCGAAAAACACAGTAATGACACCAAACACACCGGTCAGTATTTCCTGGTTTGCGTGTGTGTTTTTAAAGCAGTGGAGGGTTCTCCTGGGGTAAGTGGGTGGGTTGCCTCTTGTCTTCTAACTCCCAAGCCCCTTCAGGAGACCCTACCTTAGGAACCCCCTTCCAGGACCCCACTCAGAAGGGCCCCTCATAACAAGGCCTGGGTGCCCTTTATTGAATCAGACAAGGAAAGGTAACTGCACGATATTTTGTGAAAAGAGGTTTTCACTGGGGGAAGCAGACCAACAGGGCTGGCTGCTCTTTTTCCTTTTTAAATTCAACAGCAGGCTAAAGACCAGATAGGAACGTGAGAGATTCTTTTTTCCACAAAGCAGTAGACTGATTTTCTTCAGGCAGCCAAAGGTGGAATACTAAATCTCTGTTTGTCCAGCAGGCCTCAGTCACTTTCTCAGGCTAGGGAGAGAGCCAGGCTGCGTCCTGGTCCCGGAGGGTTGGCAGGTACAGAGCCGCCCTGGGCCCTGGGCTAGGGTCAGCACGTGTGGTCTCCTTTCCTTAGATGGCCTGCCTGCTGCTGAGCTGACGCCCCCACCGCTGAAGCCCAGGAAGGTCTGGATCATCTACTCAGCCGACCACCCCCTCTACGTGGACGTGGTCCTGAAATTCGCCCAGTTCCTGCTCACTGCCTGCGGCACGGAAGTGGCCCTGGACCTGCTGGAAGAGCAGGCCATCTCGGAGGTGGGAGTCATGACCTGGGTGGGCCGCCAGAAGCAGGAGATGGTGGAGAGCAACTCTAAGATCATCATCCTGTGCTCCCGCGGCACGCGCGCCAAGTGGCAGGCGCTCCTGGGCCGGGGGGCGCCTGTGCGGCTGCGCTGCGACCACAGGAAGCCCGCGGGGGACCTGTTCACGGCAGCCATGAACATGATCCTCCCGGACTTCAAGAGGCCAGCCTGCTTCGGCACCTATGTGGTCTGCTACTTCCACGAGGTCAGCGGCGAGGGCGACGTCCCTGACCTGTTCGGTGCGGCGCCGCGGTACGCGCTCATGGACAAGTTCGAGGAGGTGTACTTCCGCATCCAGGACCTGGAGATGTTCCAGCCGGGCCGCATGCACCGCGTCGGGGAGCTGTCCGGGGACAACTACCTGCGGAGCCCGGGCGGCAGGCAGCTCCGCGCCGCCCTGGACAGGTTCCGGGACTGGCAGGCCCGCTGCCCCGACTGGTTCGAGCACGAGAGCCTCTGCCCGGCCGACGACCAGGACGCCCCATCCCTGGACGAAGACGTGTTCGAGGAGCCGCTGCTGCCTTCAGGAACCGGCATCGTGAAGCAGGCGCCCCTGGTCCGTGAACCTGGGTCCCAGGCCTGCCTGGCGGTAGACCTCCTGGTCGGGGAGGAAGGAGGAGCAGCAGTGGCGAAGCTGGAGCCTCACCTGCAGCCCCAGGGGCAGCCGGCGACACAGCCCCTCCACACCCTGGTGCTCCCCGCGGAGGAGGGCACCCCGGTGGCCGCGGTGGAGCCCGGGCCCCTGGCTGATGGTGCTGCTGGCCGGCTGGCGCTGGCCGGGGAGGACGAGGCGTGCCCGTTGCTGGGTGGCCTGGGTGCTGGGCGAAATAGCGTCCTCTTCCTTCCTGTGGACCCCGGGGACTCACCCCTCAGCAGCACCCCCATGGCGTCTCCTGACCTCCTTCCAGAGGATGTGAGGGAACAACTGGAAGGCTTGATGCTCTCGCTTTTCCAGCAGAGTCTGAGCTGCCAGGCCCAGGGGGGCTGCGGGAGACCTGCCATGGTCCTCAAAGACCCGCACACACCCTGCGAGGAGGAGCAGCGGCAGTCGGTACAGTCTGACCAGGGCTACATCTCCAGGAGCTCCCCACAGCCACCCGATGGACTCACGGAAATGGAGGAGGAAGACAAGCAGGACCCAGGGAAGCCAGCCTCGCCACTCTCTCCCGAGGACCTGGAGAACCTGAGGAGCCTCCAACAGCAGCTGCTCTTCCGCCAGCTGCAAGAGAACTCGGGCTGGGACACGGTGGGGTCGGAGTCAGAGAGGCCCCGGGCCTGAGGGCGGCTCCCCAGGGACGGCCCAGATCCCAGCCTTGAAGGAGTGTGTGTGCACGTGGGTACACACGTGTTCGTCTGTGTGTACATGTCTGCATGTGTATTTGTTCGTGTGTGAAGTGTAGGCTTTAAAATATGTCTGGAGTTTCATCCCAGGCATCCCCCCAGACTTTTCTTTATGCAGCCATCTGGTTATTTTCCATCCCCAGGGGAATCCACACAGCCTACTCCAAGGAGCTAATGGCAGAGTATCCTTGAGGCACCATCATTCATTCATTTATTCATTCATCAACCATTGATTGTGCACCTAATATGTGCCAGGCATTTGGGATACCAAGATAAATTGCATGTGACATGGCCCCAGCCACCAAGGAGCTTAACCTCTAGTGCTAAGGACACATTAACAAACAGAATGGGCCAGCACAGTGACTCGGGCCAGTAATCCCGGCACTTTGGGAAGCCAAGGTGGGCCGAGCACCTGAGGTCAGGAGTTCGAGACCAGCCTGGCCAAAATGGTGAAACCCCATCTCTACTAAAAATACAAAAATTAGTTGGACATGGTTACATGTGCCTGTAGTCCCAGCTACTCGGGAGGCTGAGGCAGGAGAATTGCTTGAACCTGGGAGGCAGAGGTTGCAGTGAGCCAAGATTGTGCCGCTATACTCTAGCCTGGGCGACAGAGGGGTACTCCGTCTAAAAAAAAAAACTAGGTGGTCACATGAGATGTAAAAGCTGAATGGGCCAGGCGCGGTGGCTCACGCTTGTAATCCCAGCACTTTGGGAGGCCAAGGCGGGTGGATTGCTTGAGCTCAGGAGTTCAAGACCAGGCTGGGCAACATAGTGAGATCATGTCTCTCTACTTAATTTTTTTTTTTAATTGAGATGGAGTTTCGCTCTTGTTACCCATGCTGGAGTGCAATGGTGCGATCTCGGCTCACCACAACCTCCGCCTCCTGGGTTCAGGCAATTCTCCTGCCTCAGCCTCCTGAGTAGCTGGGACTACAGGCGCGCGCCACCATGCCCAACTGATTTTTTATATTTTTAGTAGAGACGCGGTTTCACCATGTTGACCAGGATGGTCTCGATCTCTTGACCTCGTGATCCACCCGCCTCAGCCTCCCAAAGTGCTGGGATTACAGGCGTGAGCCACTGCGCCTGGCCCTAATTTTTTTTTTTTTTTTAATTAGCCAATTATGGTGGCACATGCCTGTAGTCCTAACTACTTCGGAGGCTGATGCAAGATGATCACTTACTTGAGTCCCCGGGGTGGAGGCTGCAGTAAGCTATAATGGTACTATTGCCCTCCAGCCTGGGCAACAGAGTGAGACCTTGTCTCAAAAAAATAATAAAATAAAAAGTTTGAATGGAAGCCTGCCTAGGGCCGTGAGCATGCACAGGAAAGGCACCAGGCCGGGGGAGGGAGGTCCCGGAGGAGACACCTAAGCTGAAGGATTGTGGGTGGGGGAAGGAAGCAGCCTGTGGGCGAGTGCTGGGAGGGAGTAGAGTGAGCATGTCAGGGAGCTGTTGGTGGAGCTTGGAGTGGGAGGAGGGGTGCAGCCAGAGAGATCGGGGAGGGGGCATCAGCCCCAAGGTCTGGGGCACCTTTTGTCTGATGAGCTGTCCCTCTGCACGGCAGAAGCTGAGGGCCAAACACAGCTGGATGTCACCTGAGCTCATTCATAGGCAGAGAGAAATGTGGAGGTGAAACGAAAATCATCCTGTAGGAAGGTGAGTTTGAAGCCCTGCACCCGCATCTCTCGGCCCGCCCATCATTGGGGAGCTGTTAGCATGCAGGATTCTTCACTGCAGCTGGGCTGGAGCTCCCCTGAGCTTGGGAAGCCGTGGGGTGCAAGGGCAAGGAAATGAGTGGTCAGGGGGAGCAGTGAAGATCTGGGCAGACCTTAATGTGGGGAGAGGAAGGGGTGCTGCTGTGACCTCAAGGTCGGAGGTTTAAAAGCAGCATTTGAAGAGACGCTCTGAAGCCAGTGTTTGAAGAATCTGTTCCTGAACCACCTCCTAGGGGCAGGCTGGAGGGGTCTGGCTTTGGGGTCCTGAAGAACACATTGAGGTGCTGTCAGACACTGGAATAGGGTGCCCTTTATTCCTGCACCTGAGTGCTCTAGCTGTATTTCCAAGCTCCAGTGAGGAGGAGAGGATTTGGAAATGTGACAGGAGAGCAAATAGGACAGGTGCGTGTGTGTGTGTGTGTGTGTGTGTGTGTACACACACGTAACTGAAAGATGACCGATAAAAGAATGCCTAAGTTCATCTGGTAAGAGTTTCTAGCGCTCTTTAGAGTCACATGTTGTAGGTCAGGGAGTTCCTAGTTGCAGAGTTCTTTCCTTGCAGTTGGAGTTGGCCTAGTGGCAGCAGGGCCACCACAGTCTGTGTCCCAGACAAAAGAGCAGGAGCTGAGGCCTCCCAGCCACCGGCCTTTGGGCTCCGTCTCTCCTCCAGTAGTCCTGGAGAGGGGCTTCACTGGGCCTGGACAGCTACCAGGCTTTCGGTGACCGTTCCCTGGCTTCCAGTAATTACCTGTTCAAACTCCAGAGTACAGGCTACCACGGTGCACGCGTCCCTGGCTAGAGCACACGCTCCCATCTTCTCCCGTTCCTCACAAGCCTTGAATTCTAGCTGTGCTGGCCTTCGGGCCCATGCCAATAAATGTCCCCGATGGGCAGTGCCCACTGTCTCCGGGGGAAGTTCTTTTGTTCTCTTACCAGCTCTATTGAAACAGTCCACACCAAACAACCCACAATGGACCCTGCACAATGCAGTGCGTTTCATGTAGTTACAGTTCAGCAACCATCAGCACAGGCCATCTTAGCGCAGTTTATTACCCCCAAAAGAAATCCAGCCCCCTTAGTCCCCATCCCTCAGCACCCTTGGCTACTTGGATCTCTGTAGACTTGCCTCTTCTGGACGTGCCATGGAAAGGAGTCATAAATTCTCCAGGTGCCTCCATTTCTTCTTTAGTGTCATTCCGTTTCTCCTCACATTCCCTCCCCGTTTCCTGGGCCCAGTCTCACACCGGTCCTTGCTTATCCTAAATGCTAGGAATTCCGAAACTCTGAGTATGGTGTCCGCTGTCAGCCGAATGCCAAGAGCTTCAAGAGTGTATAAAACCACGCCTTTATTGTATTATTCCGAACCATGGCTAATAAATTCTGCGTCACCCAGAAATGTCTAAGAACAGATGCCCTCCACGCTGTGCCCCTCCACCTCTTGAGCAGTCTGTGTGTGCCCGGAAGCTGCCGCGGAGCGTCTAACCGTGACTGCCCAGCGGGATTGTGCACGCCGCCACCAGTAGGCTCCCAGCTTCCGCGCAGCTTCATGACTTTTTTTCCTGCCTACTATCTTGATCCTGGTTTTTTGTTTTTTCTTTAAATGAATAATTACCTGGATTCAAAACCAGTTTCTCATTTCTGCATAGGAAGCTTCTCGGAGGTATTGAGGGTCTAAAGAGGGTTGTGTTCAGTCCCTGAAACATCTGAGCTGGGTCTCGGAATGCAAGGGTGCGGTGGAGTTACTTCCTTCTTGCTTTTATGTTTCAGTTTTTTGTTTGAAGTCAGGACCTCTCTCTGTCCCAGGCTCAAGCAACCCATCCTCCTCAGCCTGCCCAGTAGCTGGAACTACAGGCACGTTCCACTGTGCCCGGCTAATTTGTGTGTGTATCTTCTGTAGAAATGGGCTTATGCCATGTTGTCGAGACTAGTCACGAACTCCTGGGCTCAAGCCGTCTGCCCACCTCAGCCTCCCAAAGTGCTGGGATTACAGGCATGAGCCCACCAAGCCTGGCCTTTACTGTTTATCTTTGAAAATTAAATAGGGCATAAGAGAGAAGACGTGCTTACAATGCAGTGGGTAGTTTTGATCCTATGGCCTTTGGGCTCTGCGGTTGGTGCTCTCCTTCCTGAAGAAACGAGGGATGTGCAGGGCCCTCTTCTGCCTTAGCGCCCTGCCACAGCTGGGACTCCAGCAAGGCCGGGGGCTCTTGAGGGCAGAGTGAGATGGAGGCTGCCGCTCAGCATCCAGGCCCTCGCCCCACAAGTCAGGTGGGTCCTCACAGAGAAGCAGCAGCAGGGTTGGGGACTGGCCAGCTGCTCATCCTCCCTAGGTGGCTTGCCCATCTGTAAAGTGGGTGGGGCAGGAGCTCTCACTTCATGGGGTCCTGGGAGGCCTGCAGTGTCCCTGAGAGGCACCAGCCTGCTTCTGGGGCAGAGCAGTCTGTGCCCCCGAGGCACCTGGAGCCTCGTTCCCTGCTGTTAGGTACTGCCTTCTCCCTCCTGTGTTTGCTTTTTCAGACTCTAAAGTAGTAAGTGTTCCCATTCTGGGCATTCTAAGGCGCTCAGGAAGTGTCTGGCTGAGGGAGCAATGTGCATTGTGGAAAAACAGCCACAATATGGATTCCCTGGGTTATATTTTGTAGAAGACTATGAAGAAAAGCAGCTACCCTTCAACCCGTGGTGCCAGCTGTTCGGGTTAATTCTGTGCCCAACACGTTCCCCCCCGAGCGCCCCGCACTCTGAAATGGCCTCCCGGTCCATCTCGCCCTCCGCCTCTGCACAGCTCTCCACGCCCCGTTGCCTCTCCCAGATCCTAGCACTGGGTCCACACTCTCGCCCTGTGCATTTAGGTTGGTGAAGGCGGGTACTCACCCAGGTGAGCCAGCCTTGCCTGTGAGAGGAACACGCAGTCCCCTGTCTCGTGGCATCAGGGTGCCAGGGAGCCTGGCCCAGCCCACCTCCTCCTGGAGTCCTTCCCAGGAGGAGGAGCCCCTTAGCTCATTGACTGTAGGATGTTTGCTCACAGGATCCTTCCTCTCTGATGAGACCGGACGAAGGTACACAGTGACAGGTAGCAGGAGGAGAGGAAGTGGAAAGGAGAGGTGCAGGTGACTGGCCCCCGCGCTGGCCTGCTCCCTGCATGGGTGTCCCACTGGCTGCCTCTGCCCACCCGTTCCATGGGATCTTCACAGAAGGTGAAGCCAGCCCCTGCTTTTTTGCTAAAACGACTGAGCTTTCATGGAAAGGAAGCTGGACCCAAGCAGCCACCAATCACTGCAGGCTGCCTGGAGCGCAGATGTGGGAGTGTGCACTGGCTCCTCCTGACTGCAGTGCCACATTGTGCAAGCTACCTCCTCTCTGGGGCCTCAGGAAAAAAGAAAGCAGCCCTTCAGAAGGTGGCTGTGAGGAGGGATGGGGCTGATGTGCAGAGGGCCCCACAGAAAACCATGGGCTGTGTTCTGTTCTTCCTTAGGGCCACTGCTTGGGCAGACGCCACAAGGCCCAGGTGTGGGGTAGGGTGGGCCTTCCCTACACACGAACAAATCACTAGGTGCCCCTTCTCCACCTGTCACAAATCAACTTCTGATATGCCTGGCAAACCAAAATCGGGCAGGGCCGGCTTGCTTCCCTAGAAGACGTTTCTAAATGTTCCTAACGTGTGGTCAAAGCCATCACCTTATTCTACATCCGCTCCAGGGAGAAGTGAAGACATGTTCCTGTGCTGTTCTGTAATGATTCTGTATGTACAGTCTGTTCCTTGTTGCAGTTATACATGTCGTAGGGGAAAGGACCATTTCCTATGTGTCTTCTGTGGTTGCCCCTGTTTTATAAATAATGACGAAGTTCCAGGAGGCCAGGTGATAGATAGGCAAAGCCACAGCTCACTAGAGGCAGAGAGAGCTCAGGCTCCCATGAGCATCTACTCTCAGATCTCGCCTCCCGGGCTCTCCTGAGTCAAACCCCTGCATTGCCTTTGGCACAGCCAGAAGCAGCAAGCTAAGGTGACAAAACAGAGAGGGTGTATAATACTGGCTGCCTGTGTACTAAGAAACCACTATGTGGGCCGGGTGCAGTGGCTCACACCTGTAATCCCAGCACTGTGGGAGGCCGAGGCGGGTGGATCACCTGAGGTCAGGCGTTCAAGACCAGCCTGGTCGTCATGGTGAAACCCTATCTTAAAAAAAAAAGAGGCCGGGCTCACGCCTGTAATCCCAGTACTGTGGGAGGCCGAGGTGGGTGGATCACGAGGTTGAGATCGAGACCATCCTGGTCAACATGGTGAAACCCCGTCTCTACTAAAAATACAAAAATTAGCTGGGCATGGTGGCACGTGCCTGTAGTCCCAGCTATTCAGGAGGCTGAGGCAGGAGAATTGCCTGAACCCAGGAGGCGGAGGTTGCGGTGAGCCGAGATCGCGCCATTACACTCCAGCCTGGGTAACAAGAGCAAAACTCCGCCTCAAAAAAAAAAAAAAAATTAGTTTCTCAAGATGTTCTCCTTTGGAAAGCTACTCTTATAAGAAATGGGGAGCTGGGCGTGGTGGCATACACCTGTAGTCCCAGCTACTTGGGAGGCTGAGGCAGGAGGATTGCTTGAGCCCAGGAGTTCGAGGCTGCTGTGAACTATGATGGCGCCACTGCACTCCAGCCTGGATGACAGAGTGAGACCCTAGCTCAGAAAGAAGGAAGGAAAGAAAGAAGTGGGAGAGAGAGCCCAGGGTGCTGGGAAAAATCGCTCTCAGGCTGACTCCGTTAAAAGCTGAGCCGGCTCTGCCGACTAACCCTGTCAGATACTCACCTGCCCCAGGCCCCGGCCTCACTGGCCCCCTGAGCCACATGCCACTGCCTAGAAGGAAAGGGCCAAGGCGTTCTCATAATGTTAACACAAACTGATAAAATAATGGCGAATGTCACAGTGACATTTAAAAACTTCGTAAGGAAACCAAGACAGAAAAGATCTTAAACCGCACAGGAAGCTTGTCACAAGTCTCAAGTTTTTTATTTTCAGAACAGAGTCTGGTTTTATTTTTAAAAAGAGAAGGAAAAAAGTGATAAATGCTAGTGAGGTGCCACTTCCCTCGTTCCTCCAGGCTCTCACCGCCAGCTAGCGCTCTCACAAAACCCACGGATGCAGAATCAGGGCATGTTCAAATGGAACAGTCTTTAGAGAGGGTCTAGTCTTTTTTAAATAAGTAAGGATTTGGGAACTTACTGAGAGGAACCCCCTGACTGGCAGAAACATTAGGATCAGGCAATTCTCAAGATTCTGAGAGGATCCCAGGGTCCTCTTCTGTGAACCACGCATGTGCTGGCATTGGCCTCGGGAGACGGCACCTCCTTGGCTGTCAAGCCCATGGGGAAATCTCAGGTTTGCCCCTGCAGCAGGGATGCAATAGAAAGCAAGGCAAAGGAAGCTCCAGGGGTCATGACAAATGGGGCAGGGGAGGTGAGTGCAAGGGCCTGACCCTCTGAGCACCCAGTGCTCGACCCACATGTGTAAAACAGGGTGACTGGGGCTGAGTTGGGGGCCTGGTCTCTGCCAGAATTGGGCTGGTTGCCATCAACCTCTTGACATATCCAGGGAAGTGGCAGCTCATTGGAACTTATCACAGCCTCCCACCAAAAACCTAACAGTACAGAGATTTTACAACCGGGGAGACCAGGCAGGAAATGGCCATCTAAACAACAGAAAGGGGCAGGTTGGGGGGCCGGCCAGTGGCCAGCCATGGCTCAGACACAATGTCCTTTCACAGTCACTGAGAATAGGTAGCAGAGAAACAGCAAAGCTGGAGAGAGGACATGGGAACAGGGAGCAGCTGTTGGTAGCCACCCAGGGCCCCGGCCCCAGAAGCTCAAGTCCAATCAAAGGGAGGGGAGAGACGTCAGTGGGGTCGGAGGAAGAAGGCAGGAAAAAAATGTGAAATCCAGGCAGCTCTGGGGCCACATAGGGTGAGGGACTGGAAGCACAGATCATGGATGGAGTGTAAACATTGTCCCCCACCCTTCCCTGCTCTGAGAGCATGAGGAGGCTCAAGAGGACTCTGGTCAAGCCCTTGGCCCCTCTTACGTCTGTCTACATGGGTGTCTTCTGTTCCAAGCCCCCAAGCAGTTGGAGGGGGGCACTTCAAGCGGGAGGCAGGGGCTTGACCGGGGTGCTGAGTTCATGTCCAGTGACTTGGCACTCCTGGCCCTCCCTGTGCGGGGCGCTGTGGACACTGTGGCTGTGCCAGCCCTGCCCCACACCCAGCCCGGGAGCCCAAGCCCTCCCTCTGGCCTCCGCTGGAGCATTGCACACCCTGTGCAGAGCGGGGAATGTTCTGCCGCTGCAGCCTGGCTGGCTTCTCTCCCGGCCGTCTGTACAGGGGAGCATCAGGACCAGGGTTTTCAAGAGCCACAAACTCAAAAACTGTGAGAGTTGGAATTACCTTCAGTCTTAGAGATCACTCACCTAACTTCTACTTTTTTAACGTGAGAAAACAGGCCTAGAAAATAAAAACGATGTGTCACTCAAAGCCAGTGAGTGACACAATCAGAACTAGAATGAACGTCTTCCGGTAACTCACCTAGGACTTATCACACCGCATAAACTTCCCAACACAAGAAGGGAGAAGGGGAAATAAAAATTCTGCCAGCTTCACCCCCACTGCGTCCTGCTGAGGGTGGAAGGAAGTGAGTATTTCCTGGCCTTGTTCCCTGCTGTGCTCCTGCACCCTTAAAATACGTAAAAAATACTTATCCTACCTCAAAGACTGCAACAGTGACATTCCACACCAAGACTCGAGTGCACAGCCCCCAGAGGTCTCTTGGCATCACCCTCAATGAGAGGAATCTAGGAAGGAAAGCGCTGCAGGCTGCCTTGGCCCTAGTGAGACTCAAACAGACCAGAGGCAGGAGGTCACCACCTCGCTTTCTGATCTCCACTTCCTAGAGGAAGAACCGGTGGGGAATGGGGCTTCCTACTCCACTGGGCCCGTGGAGGGCCAACTTCATATCCATCTAGGAACACCGCCAAAGCTATTACTCTAAGCCCAGATCTGACCTTAGTCGGCACCAAACCACAAGAAGGATAAGAGTTCTAGGTGCAGAGGGAAGAACAGAGGGAGGCCAAGCCAATGGCTGATACTCCACAGACCCTGTAATAACGCTGGCACCCAACCCCAGCTGGAGCCGGTGGCCATGGCGAATGCAACTTCTGAGTATTTTGTCTTATTTTTTGCAAGCAGCATCAGTGCACAATGCAACAAAAGTTGAAAGCACGGAGGTAGAAATGCTCGCTCACCCAAGAAAGGGTGCAGTTTGGTCCTTAGAGAATGGATCCCCTCCTCCCTCTGAGCTAACAAGAGAAGAGCAGGATTGAGGAAGATCCTGGGTGAGCTTCTCCCTTCGAAGGGAGTACCTGGGCAGCTCCCAGGGGCCCAGCTCTTCCTGGGAATTCATGGTCACAAATCCAGGCAGAAAAGAGGAGTGTGGTGGTAAGTAAGGTATAGGGGGCAGGGCCTCCCCAGATCTCCTACCCATTGCAAAGGGTCACAGGGTGGACACAAGAAAACAACACTACACACACAGAGACATACACTTTGCATCTATGACCTGGGAGAAACCGAATAGACACATCAGTGGAAAGTGGGTTCTGGGTCAAGGAATGGGACAATGGCCACCAACCACAGCCTAAAAGAGGCTGGCACTTCTAAGCCAGGACGAAAACCCAAGGCTGCACACCCCTTTCCTCCTGAGGGATGGCAATTACAGTGGAGGTGGGCAAAGAAGCAGAGGTACAAGCCCCTTGGAGGTCAGGATTGGAGCAGGATAGGAGAAGAAAGGAGGGGGTAGGTGCACCCACCTCCCTCACTGTTAACTGCTGGTCTCCCTCCAAGCGGTCCTCACCCCCGGGGTGCAGAAGGACACCCTGGCCCTTAGCCCTATAAAGGATTACCTCTTCCAAACAGCCTGATCAAATCTGGATGACAGAAGGTAGAAGATAAGGGGGTTGGGGACTCTCAACCCAAAACCAGGGACCCATGCCCTTCGCCCTCAATTCTGGGAGGCCACAGCCAGGGTGTTGACATAGCCGTGGGCACCCCCGTCGTTCTCCGAAATGCAGTGGCCCAGCTGGGAGCCTCCCTGAGGTGGTGGCGGAGGTGGCGGAGGGACGGAGGGCGGAGCACCATAGCCCCCTCTGGCCCGACTCGGGGAGGCCCGACTGCCCCGGTCCCAGCAGCCCTCCAGCGCCTCCAGGCCGCGGCAGCCAAGGAAGAAGAGGTTCTTGAGCATGAAGATGGAGAGGGGCTGCTGGTAGCTGACCACCAGGAGGCAGCGCAGCGCCAGCAAGGGCACGTCCACCAGGCAGCCGCCCAGCAGGCGCAGAAGGCGGCAGCAGCTGCTGGGCCCGGAGGCCTGGCCCCCGGATGCCGCCGCTGCGGCCGCGGCGTTGAGCTCATAGAGCCAGAGCACCGGCGAGGCGAGGGTGAGGAAGTAGACGGCGATGAGCAGGTAGCGCAGGTGCGAGGGCAACGGAGCGCGGCCGTCCAGCATCAGCTCCACCAACGTGAAGCTGTCGAGCAGGTCCAGGCACGTGCCCAGGAAGCACCCGGCCGCGCGGTGCCGCTGGGGCTGCAGCAGCAGGGGTCCCGCCGAGCCGGGCGGCGCGCCGGCCTCGCTGATGGCCCGCACCAGGCTGTAGAGCAGGGGTACCGACAGCGCCATGGTGAGGCGGAAGCCCGTGGTGCCGAAGGGCGCGCGCAGTTCGATGAGGTCTAGGATGGAGGTGCCCAGGATCAGCACCACCTTGGGCGTGAAGGCGATGGAGTAGATAAGCCAGGCCAGGTAGGCGAAGGCGAACTCGCCCGCTGCCGCGGCCGCCCCCAGGCCGCCCCCCGCGCCGCCGGCGCCCCCCCGGGCTCCGCGCGCCTTGGCCCCGGCGGAGGTGGCCGAGGGGGCGGGCAGGTGCAGGGGCGGCGCGGCGTGGTGGTGGTGCGGGTGGTGGTTGTGCGCGCCGCTGGCCACGCCGCCCCGACGGCCCCGGCTGTTCTTGGCGAAGAAGATGGCCCAGCCCACCACCACCACCAGGTCCGTGGCGATCCAGGAGCACCAGTACAGGTCGGTGACGGCGATGAGGTACAGGTCCAGCAGGCCGCCCTGCGCCAGCAGCAGCACCACGGACAGCGCCTGGTAGCCCCAGCGGCACCCGGGACTCGGGGCGCAGCCGCGGCGCCGACCCCTGCGGCCGGGCCGGGCAGGGCGGCCGCAGCAGCAGCAACACGAACAGCAGGAGGCGCCGCCTCCCGCCCCGCCACCGCCCGCGCCCCCAGCCGAGCGGCTCCCGGGGCCCCCGACGGCCCCGGCCGCGGCCCCCCCTCCGAAGTCCGCGGCGGTCATGCTGCAGGAGGAGGTGGGCGTGGAGCTGGAGGAGGAGGTGCTGGCGGAGGAGGAGAAGGCGGTGGGCGCGGGGCCGGCGGCGGCGGCGCTCCCCTGAGCCGGCGGCCCCGGGAGCGCGGCGTTGGGCACCAGCGGCTTGCTGACGCTCAGGCTCTCGTCGTCGTCCTCGCGCTCGGCCCCCGTGCTGCTGCTCGGGGAGCCGCCGCCCCCGCCGCGTCTGCTGCCGCCTCCCCCGCGGCTAGTGCTGGTGCTGGTGCTGCTGTCGCCCGAGCCTCTCCGGCCGCGGAAGGAGCCCCCGCGGAGGAAGAGCGGCTGCAGCCGGGCGGCGGCGGGGGGCGGCGGGAAGGCGCCGGGCGCGGAGGAGACCGAGCGAGGGTGGCCGAGCGCCGGGCGCATTGTCCTCCGAGGGGCTCCGGGGCCGCCCAGCTGCTCCCTCCCCGCCAACCCCGGGCGGGCGAGGTGACCGAGGGGAGCCGGGCCCGCCGCCTCCCCAGCGGTGGGGACTCGCACCTGGGCCGGGCGGCGGCGAGATCCGGACTGGAGCCACTGGACTGGGCGAGCCGGGCCGGGCCGGGCGGGAGCGGGGGCAGGCGCGGAGCGGAGCAGACCGCGGTGACGGCGGGCGGGGCGCGAGCCCGCCGGGAGGGAGGGAGGGAGGGAGGCTGGCGGCACGGAAACCAGGACTGGATTCGAGGGGGAGAGGAGGCGGCGAGACCAGAGGAGGGGAAAGCGCGGCACGCTGGATCAGCAGGAAAAGGGGCGGGGGTGCCGAGCGTCAGAGTTGGGCGGGGGGGGAGTCCTGTGGCCTGGAGGAAGCGGAGGAGGCGCGGGCGGCCGCTAGAGCGAGGCGACCCGCGGGGGACTCTCAGGGAGCGCGGACTCTTATGGAAGTCCCTGGGAGTCCCACCGGCTGCACCCCAGGGCGCTAGTGCCTAGATGGCTTCGGTGCCCCCAAGCGATGGACTCAGGCAACAGGGCGGGCTTTGCACCTGGCCTTCTCAGCTCTGACGCAGGCGAAGGGCAGCTTCCTGTCACCCTCCATCCAGCGTCCTTCCCACGGGCCCATCCGCCTCTCCCTAAGGCACTAAACACCAGTGGAGACAGGCCATGTTGGCAAAAAGGGCCAGGGCAGCAGCCCCGGACCTACAGTCCTAAATATCCGTGTGCCCAGCACTGGGGTCACGAGCCTTCTCAGGGACGAACCAGCAGATGGAGAAGTTCCCTGAAAACACCTGCCTAGGAGGAGAGTTCAGTGGCATCCACCCAGCGGGCTTCTCAAGGGTTTTAAAAGCAGAATGGAACATAATAGGAAGATGTGTCTGGCAGGGAGGAAAATAAAGGGACACTTAGAGGTGTGGGCACCTGGATGAAAACAAAGGCTCCAAAGGGATGATGGTGAGGGTTACAGCCCGTCACGGTAGACAGACACCAAGGAAGAAAAGCAGTCAGTACCCTGTGTAGACAGGCTCAGGAGAAAGGGCCCAGCAGCTCACCCCAGGACTCACCCGTGGCTGGGGCCGGATGTCCATGCAGCAGCTCCTGAAGGCAGAAGGTAGCGTGCTGCCTTTGGGGATTTAAGGGAGAAGGAAATGACTAGAGCAGTGGGGCCCCAAAACAATCTGAGGTTCACCAGTAATGGAGACATTCCATTCCCGGCCCCATAAAAGGAGAGCAGGAAGCCCGCCTGGCCTGTTGGCCTCCACACCCTTGGGGTGGCCTGTGCCCACCCTGATTTCATGACCTCTGAAGCGTTGCTGAGGCCTCACCTTCCCCAGGTAACAGCTTGCAGCGGGGCAGCACCAGGCAGTGTGACGGAGCGCGTGCAGTGGAGCCGCAGGGCTTAGTCAGACCTGCCCCTAAATCCACCTCTTGAATGAGGGTCAGTTTCAGCCAAACCTGCCTTTTCCAGTTCCCCGGAGTCTGCACAGCCAACCACTTTAGAACCTGCACCATTTCCACCTCTCCCAAACACACCACCTTTGGAAAGCAGGCATGGCGGTGAGGGCGGGAGGAGCTCTGGGGCCGCTGTCCCAGCGGTGCCACTTGATACCTTTGTGGTCTTATCCTGGATATTTCGCCTCACAAAGCTGATCTATAAAAAAGGCCCCGCCCCTACCTTATGAAAGAGATCATGTGTGTAATCCCTCTTCGATGACAGAGCCAGTTCCTGGCTCGGAGTCCACGCTCAGGTAAAGGTCTCTGTGTGATCATCATTCCACTTAGCCTTAGCTTCCCAGGGAATGTCCACTCACAGCAGGGGCCACCAATGGCTGTTTTCTGGCTGGACTCTGAGTTCTGTTCCCCCACAGCATCGAATTTGATAAGTGCCGGAGAGCGAAGCTGCCATGATTAGGACCGTGGGTTCTTGGAGCTGGTCTTCACAGGCTTAGAGTGTGAGAGATCCAGGGTGCCAGTTGGGGCCAGGGTCCACCCACATGGACCTGGGTGGGGAGTGAACGGTCTAGCGGGTGCAGCCACCACCCATGGGGAGCAACACAGCAGGCGCAGAGCTATCAGGGCTTACCCAGTCCAGGTCAAAAAGTGGTCTTGTTGGGGGTCTGCTGCTAATGGGTGATTATAGCAGTTTCCCAGTCCCTTTGTGATACAGCTGGCCTAGAGTTAGAAGCTGTACAGTGACATTTTATAAACTGACAACACTGTTTCCATTCTCCTCACAAGGACTGCTAACCTTGGTTTCTGTAAACTGCTAATTTACTTTGCACAAAGGTAAAGCTGCATACCTTCTATCTGTAACTGCCAGAATTGCTGGCCTTTGTTTACCAGAGTAAGCACCCCCAGATATTTCCATCCTGGCGCCAAGTAAATAAAAATCTATGGATCCCACCCCTACCCAGACAGATGTGTAAACGAATGCTAATCTTAGCATCTGTGAACCCCTTAAATGACAATCAGAATGTCAAATAGTCCCCGGGCCCTTGGAATGTCCGGAGCCCCCCTCACCCTCCTCTTAGCCTGGGAGGTGATTGACAGCTTTCATTCCCATCTCCGCTCTTCACCCCCACTCCCAAGGTGGTTTTTGGGAGTATAAAAAGGTCTTGTCTCTCTTCTTTCGGGGCCACGGGTTGGAGAGACGTGAGTCCTCCGTGGTCGCCGGCAATAAACCCTGCAATTTGGCATACTTTTGTTCTGGTGTTGACTTTCTATGCTCGGTTCGATATAACACCTTCAGGAAAAAACCCAGCGGCAGCTCACACAGAAGCAGGTTCAGGCCTCCTGTACGAGTGAAGTGAAGTGGTGGAAGAAGGAAGCAGCTGGTGGGGTGAAGTGGCTCATGCCTGTAATCCCAGTAATTTGGGAAGCAGGGGCGGGAAGATCACGTGAGGTCAGGACTTTGAGACCAGCCTGGCCAACACGGTGAAACCGCATCTCTACTAATACAAAAATTAGCCAGGCGTGGTGGCACGCACCTGTAATCCCAGCTACTCGGGAAGGCGGAGGCAAGAGAATCACTTGAACCTGGGAGGTGGAGGTGGCAGGGAGCCAAGGTCACGCCACTGCACTCCAGTCTGGGTGACACAGTGAAACTGTGTCTCCCAAAAAAAAAAGAGGAAGCAGCTGATGAAGGAGAGCTGGACTCCTGAGAGCCAGGGAAGAGCACCCTCCCACTCCCCAGCCCACAGCCTACCCTGTCTCAAAAAACCAAAAAATAAACCAAGTTCTTTCCTAGGAGGGACATACACATATAAGCAGTGAAGCACAACGAATTATTATGAATATTATGACCAAATTCGGGGTCCAGAAGAGATACAGAACAGGAGTGGGGCAGCACAGCCTTCACAGAGGGCGAGACGAGCGCGCTGTTTCGAAGGCTGAGCAGGTGCTGGGGAGCAGAGAGGAGGTAGAGCTGGATCAGAAGGGCAGTCAGGACCAAGATGGAAAAAGGGCCTAAATCATAAAGCAGCAGGCTCTGTACAGAGTGACAAATATTGGCTCCACTTGAATTCGAAGTATAGGAGAGCATGCAATGAAAGGCGCAGCTGAGGACACAGGCAGGGCTGAGTTCCCGCAGGCCACCGAGCCCAGGCTGAACCTGGGTTGCATTCTAAGGCAGGAAGGAACTCTTGAAAGCCAGAGTACACCAAGCACAGATGTGCATGTTAGAAAAGCTGCTTGATCAGCCGGGTGTGGTGGCTCACGCCTGTAAGCCAAGGACTTTGGAGGCCAAGGCAGGCGGCTCACCGGAGGTCAGGAGTTCAAGACCAGCCTGAACAACATGGTGAAACCCGTCTTTTTTTTTTTTTTAAAGAAAAAGAATAAATAAATAAAAAGAAAAGTTGCTTGATCGTGCAGACGATGGATTAGAGGAAATGAAAAATGGAGGTACAGAGACTATGTTCTAATTCTGGCAATACAGTGAATTAAATCATATAAAAACTCCTCAGCTTACCAAAAAAAAAGAAAACACTCAATGAAATAGAACATTCTTTAAATGCAGTTAATCTCAAAGAGTAAGGGAAACTCTTGGAACCATAAATGAATAGGAAACCAGACTGGAAAGTGACATACATGAGGCTGTGAGTGCCTTCAGATACGTAGTCAGTCTCGCTCAGCCACACTATTTAACATGTGGCTATCTAAATTTAAATTTAGGCCAGGCATGGTGGCTCATGCCTATAATTCCAGCACTTTGGGAGACTGAGATAGGCGGATCACCTGAGGTCAGGAGTTCAAGACCAGCCTGGTAAATGTGGCAAAACCCCATCTCTACTAAAAATACAAAAAGTAGCGGGGCTTGGTGGCACAGGCCTGTAGTCCCAGCTACTCGGGAAACTGACATGGGAGCATCGTTTGAACCCGACAGGGAGAGATGCAGTGAGCCAAGATGCCACTGTACTTCCGCCTGGATGAAACTCCATCTTCCCCAAAAAAATAAAAAAAAAAAAAAAAGGTTTTACATATTTCTTCTCCTGTCTTAATTTATTCAAAAAGCAATTGTATAAAACTATAACTGTATTGTTGGGCCTTTAACATACAGACATCAGCACAAAGAAGGCAGAGAGCAAGGCTATGTTAGTGCAAGGAAATGCAATCAGACGGTAACCCAAATTCATTCAAAAGGAAAGGAAGACCACCAGAAATGGTAAAATACAAACAGGTAGGTATTTTTAAATATCTTATATATAGGCCAGGAATGCTGGCTCATGCCTGTAATCCTAGCACTTTGGGAGGCCAAGGCCTGTGGACTGCTTAGCTTAAGCTAGGGAGTTTGAGACCAGCCTAGCCAACATGGTGAAACCCTGTCTCTACTAAAAATCCAAAAAGTAGCCGGGCGTGGTGGCATATGCCTGTAATCCCAGCTACTCAGGAGGCTGAGGCAGGAGAATTGCTGGAACCTGGGAGGCAGAGGTTGCAGTGAGCTGAGATTGTGCCACTGCACTGCAGCCTGGGTGACAAAGCAATACTCTACCTCGGGAGAAAATAAACAAACACACACTTCAGTCCTACCGGACGTGCTAAAAAATAAACAAAAAACCTGGTCAGATGCATTGAAGATCAGCCTGGGCAGCATAGCAAGACCTCATCTCTAAAAATAATTTTTTTTTTTTAGCAGAGTCTCGCTGTAGCCCAGGCTGGAGTACAGTGGCACAATCTCGGC